CAGAAGACAATCCATGCAACAAACCAACATTGCCTCCTTTGTCAACTCAGAATACACTAAATAAATCTCAGAATAATCAGACTATTGTGAAATAGGAAGACAAGTGTCATAATATTTACTACAGACTATAATTTTAATTGTTAACTAAAGTAACATCATCAACCAATGAAAACTGACATTTATTCATTTGCTCCAGTTTTGTGCTTCTATTTTTTTTAAAAAAACCTATTTTACTAATGCAATTAATAGTAAAAACTCTAGCTTTAGATTGTCATGATTATATGGAATAAAATTTATCTGTCTTGATTACTAAGATATTTCATTCTGAGTCTACATAAAATTGTTTGCCTTTCTTTCAAACCGAAGTTTACCTTTGTGTTGAGGTACTACACTGACCAATGAGGCACTTATGGCTACTTTTTCATACATACACTTCAAATAAAATATATTGCATTTCACATTATTGCTACAATTTAAAATACTAGTAATTGTCAACTATCTACAGAATTGGTCTCCTTTTTATAAACTTATAACCTATAAATTATAACCTAATACATCTGCAAATTGCCAGCTTGAAGAAACAGTTCATTTTTAACCAAAATCCTTCAATATCTTACATGAGTATATGAACTTACCTAGGTAATGTGGTGGATGAAATGGCATAGGCTTATTAGTTGCTGAATAATATGCAACTGCTCTCTTAAATCGTTTAACTTTGTCATCCGTTCTAGACTAAAAGAATGTTAAAATTAGCATTTATTAAAATTAAATACACAAATGAACAACCAGTCCTACCAGCTTTACTATACAGTTATAAACTTTTTCCAACTGTATAAAGGCAAGCAGTCAACCTAAGGGTTTCTTTCATAGACAAGCAATAAACAAAAATTCTTCTAAGTTCTGATCATCTTTAGCAATTCTTACAAAGAGAATTATAAAACACAAGTAAAAATAAGTCATATTCACTGCAAATCACAAGTACTGCAACATACTCTTTAAGAACTATATACACCTTTTAACTTTTATTCTTTTTTTTTTACCTGTGAATGTTGAAAAACATCTTTAGCTATGGCATCCAAATCAGAGGTGTCTTGAATATTACGGACATAGTCAGCTACAGCTTTGATCACTACATCACAAGGCGGTAAAACTAACTGGTGTGCTCGTACCTAGAAACACAAACACATGTCAGAACTGCTCTACTCACACTCACATTTACAATAAGTAATAGGGTTTGAATTAAATTCCACTGTAAAATATGCTAACAAGGAATTCTAGTGACAAGTTTAATAAATAATAAATAAATCATTTGAGATTTTTCTGGAATATTTTTTTAAAACAAGAGCAAATTATATTGTTGCTATTCTTCTGTTTTGGCAGATTTGAATCATGTTTCTGTATTCATAGTAGTAATTTGGCAATTAAGTGGCAGCTACCGGAGTATTTCTATTAGGGATATGTGAGCATAATCAAGTGGAGCCACATTTTAAAACTTGATGGCAATGAGCAAGAAGAAAGTTAATGAAAAAAGAGCAATATGAAAGTTTACAAACCAGATAAAATCAATGCTTTAAAAAAAATGATTTTAACATTTCAATTATACAGTATCTTGTTTAAAGTTAATTCATTTAAAATGGAATTAAAATACACAGAGAGTACATTAATATCTAAATATGTTTTAAGTTCAGCCAACTACGAAGAACTATTAAAAGCTACTTTTTTAAAAAAATAAAGAAGAGACACAAAGACGGGTGGGACAGGGAACATCTAATTTCTACCGACAAAAAATATAATTGGCACAATAAGCCACATAAAATGTTCAGGTAGTCCTTGGCTCATGACCACAATTGCAATAGGAACTTCTGTTGTAAACTGGTGCAGTCATAAAGCAAAATGTCACATGACTGCACTGACTTCTGAGAACACCCACCCATTCTTAACTTGGTCCCTCTTAGCCTTGCCTGAGCCTCAGTACAACAAAGGACTATATTTAAGCCACCCAAAGTTACCCTGTGGTAAGATGGACGGCTAATNTATTTTATATGTGAAAGAATTCTAATAGTTTATTGCAGGAGTGAGCAAGCTTTTCAGGTGGTATGGGGATGTTTTTATTTTTGCAACTTTGCTGCATGTATTCTGAAAAACTGGTTGCCATGAGCAGAGGCTTTCTTATTTATAAAATGGGTACCAAAGATGAAGATTTCCCTAATTTTAAAATGGCTGCCACTATAAAAGGGCTTGTCTAATCACAAACAGTATGATCAGCGAAATCTCCTTAGCTTTGGGTAGCAGGAAGATACATCTGTAAATTTAGCATAGAACTACCTTTACCTGCCATTTTTGTTTTCTAAGAATGTCTGTGGAGTTTGCATGGAGGACGAAGACATGATACTAAATAAGAAATGAAGCTCAAGCTGGAGCTTTCATTTCTTTAAAATGAAAGGATAATTTAAAAATTAAAGATAGGAAGATATCCATAAACATTGGTAATTATGAGTACCATAACTATCTCTGATATAATTTATAGAACTGAATCAACAAGTGTATTATCAAGTTTTGCTTTTGGAAAGAGCGGAGGAAATATTTTGTCTGTTTGCCTTGCAGTAGCTCTGGAAACACACATTTAAGCATTTGTACAGAATGGGAAGTAGCTTCCAGAAGCAGGAGACTAGTAACAATTAGGTCCTTTCACTTTCCAACAGCCCAAAGACTCTTCTTGTATATTTGGATCCACCTGTCAAATGTTAATTTCGTTTACATTGGTACAACAATCCATCAATATCAGTCTATGTTTTGAAACTGGATAGTAACTATATGCTATCAAAAAGTTTTAGACTTCAACATCTACACACCCTTACCAGCATAGCCACTGATCATGCTATCTAGGAAGTACAAGAGTTGAAGTCTAATACATTTGAAGAGAACAACTGATTGGGCCAGAACATTCAAATTCGTACATGTAGATTTATGTGTGTCAGGGATGGGTTTACCGAACAAGAGCAGTTAGATCAGATTTTTAAGGTACTTCCAATGTGTCCTATAGAAACAAACTTATGGTGACAGTGTCATAACTGCAATAAATACAGTAGCATTATGAAAATGAAGTCCTATATGATGTGCACAGCATGCCATAAATCTTATATAGCATGCATTACTGTTGACCGAAAAATGTATTTTATTTCTGTCAAACCTAACTTGCTAATAAAATAGACTGTGTATACAAAATTATTCTACATGCTTGAATTTTGAAAATGAAAGTACAAGTCAATAAGATGAATTCAGCCTTTTATTGTTGGACAAAATTTGAGATTTACTGTCATCCAGTATGGTTCTTTTCCAAGTCACTCACCTGTAATTCTAAGCTCATACTGATTTAACTGGGGTAATTTACATTCAGAATACAAATACTGCCTTACTGGGTCTGGCCAATGATCAATTTAGCCCAGCATCCTGTCTTCAACGCTAGCCTATATCAGACGATAGAGCCATGGTGTGAGGTAGGCCTCCCTAAGGAAGTACAAGTTGTTAGCAGGAAAGCAGTGAGCGGTTGCTGAGAAAAAGACAGAAAAGTGGGGAAGGGGAGGAAAGGGAAGTTCTACAGAAAGAAGCAAGACAAGCAAAAACAAAAATTACCTATATAGATGGGACAAAATCTTCATCAAAAAGTTCAGTTTAACCAAAAAAATCACAAACTCTTTCTGCTGAATGATTTGAATGTTATTATTTTCTAAATTTGAGAATCTTTTGAAATTATACATTAATTATGTCTTATGTGAGATTTTCCAGAATAACCTTGGGAATGGAAAATGATATAAATGGTTTCCACAACATGGGTATAACCATATTTGGGTTTCTTGCTAAAAGGGGCCAATTCAAATAAACTTTTAAGAAACTGACTAAAAAATACTGGTTTGAATAAATCCACCAGAAACTGGATTAAGTCCAAGGTGGAATTCTCTCCTCTCTGTTGCCTATTTCAGTGGAGGAAATGCAGATATTTTCAGCTGAAAGTGTCAAATACTTGTACTTTAACCTTTTACTTGAAATTGTTATTTTTAAAATAAAAGCTGTACACTTACTCCTGTACAGATCCTTTATCCTATCACATATTTATTTAAACATTTTAATTATCAAGGTCATCTCCATTGTATATAGTTGTTGACAAAGCAAGGAGATAAATTAAAAATTAAATTTATTTAACTTTCATTACAAAATATGTAGGGACTTTAACGCAAGGAACATGACTACTTCTAAAGCAAAAATTGGTAAAATAGTGTTTTTCTATGATTAAAAAAGAATGTCTTGGAGATATCATTAATACTTAGGTGATCTACTAATTAACAACAGTTCTTAAATGCAACAAAAGCTTTCAGTATATATCATGCATCCATCTATAAATTACTTTACTGAAAATGGATGCTTAATCTATTTGAACAAGGCCATGAATGAATTTTAAAATGTGATAGTAAATTATCATTTTAATAATATTAATGTAATTGCTTTAAATGGAGAAATTCAAATGAAAATGAAAACTGGTACTAGGATTTAACTGTACCCATCCCATTATTGTATAGTCTGCTGGTGATCAATATGCCTAAGTAACAATTTCTCTGATATTATTTATTTAGAAGTATGTATGTGGAGGTGGAATCTTGTGGAGACATGCAGGTATTCTTTAGGAAAAGATAAAATAAAATGAAAGTGATGATTTAAAGGTTAGAGCTCTGAAAGCCATTGATATAAAACAAAAATGAATATAGTATCAGGTAAAGAAAAGCAAAAAAACCAGCACATTTCCTCTGAAAATTGAAGCAGATTTCATTATCTGCAAGTTATTACTGAGCTGGTGTTGAAGGCAGAAACTCTTCCTGTCCACATACTATTTTGATGAACAAGTGGATGAAAATAGAAAATACTGAAAAAATAAAATAATATTGCTTTGCAAAGCGCTTGAAGTAATAAGGATTAAATGCTCCATAAAGGCCAACTTCAGAAGTCACCTTTAGTTCCTGCAGTTGGTCAGGTTCATAGAGTTTTGGAGATAAAGCTTGAGCCAAGAAGGCATCAAGTTCTTGGCGACGAAGTATCCGAACTCCAGGCCACTGCACCATATATCTACAAAGACAAAGAACTTTGGGTAAACCATTTCTGAAAAGCTGTGTAATACTTCTGAAGTCTGCATACAACAATGTTTAAACAAGCGTTGTCCCAACAGCGTTGCAGCAGCCCTCCCCTCGCTCCTCGAGTCGGTAGCCGAGCTGGCAATTGAGTTCCCTAGGTTGAT